TTTTTTTTCACATCTGATTCTAACCATTAATATTATTTCATGTGTTCTGGCTCATCACTAATATTTCATTTTCAGGACAAAAGTATCATGTTGAACAAAGACAAAGGAAAAAGTATTTTGGTGAAAACAAGTCAGTTGTACAATTACAGCATTAGAGGGACTGAATTTAATATGATCCTAGGAGAAAATAAAAAGCACTGGCCTTCCCACTTCCCGCCATCCTTTGGGCTGAGGCTGAGGGGGTGCTGAAGCACTCGGGGGTCTGAGGAGGGCGCTCCGTGCTTTCGGAGTTGACTCACACTGATCCCCATTTGGAGGAAGCCTGCAGCCAAAGCAGGCTCCTGGCTGTTTCACTGCTCCTCTGGTGGGTAACCTGCAGCTGCAGCCCCCAGAATTTCCTCTGCACTGGGGCTGCCCTGTGTCTGTCACACGGCCTCTCTTCTTTGCCATCACTTATCTTCTAATTTTCTGTGGCATCAGGCTTCATGAACAACAGCCGGGTACTTTCACTGAACCTTCAACCACATATAACTCAGTGCATTTAGATTTTACTCTCTACCTTTTAATAGGCTTCTAACAAGAAAGTTTCCAATAAGCTTTATTTATTTATTAAACATGGAACGCTGCAAGAATTTGCGTGTCATCATTGTGCAGGGCTACACTAATCGTCTCGGTATCATTCCAAGTTTAGTTCTGTGCTGCTGAAGTGAGCACCCAATAAGCTTTCTGATGAAAAAAGAAGCTGGGCACGGTGGTGCATATCTCCAATCCCAGCACATAGAAGGTGGAGGCAGAAGGACTGCCATGAGTTTGAGCTAGCCTAGGATTCAGAGTAAATTCAAGGCCAGCCTGAAGTGCATAGTGAGACTCCAATAAAAAAGAAGGAGAAGGAGGAAGAGGAGAGAAGGAGAAGGAAACCCAGAAGAAGAGTAGGTGAGATATAGTCACTTTCAGGCAAACTTGAACACCCAGGAACCCTTCTAGGAGCATCATCTCAGGGTACTTGTACCTTCTTGGACTACAAAATTCTACTACTTCCTATTATGTGGAGGGATTTAAACATTAACTTCTGGACCATGAAATGATCTTGTCAACCTTGGCTGCCTGATGATTTTGCTGATTCTTAGCTGTTGCACAAATGCCAATGGTCATGTTTGGCCATTTTCCATACGACCTTTGAAAATGAAAAGCTCTAAGTGCAAGAGCCTGAATTCAATCCCTGGTTCTGAAAAAAAAAAAAAAAAAAAAAGAGAGGGAAAAAAATGAAAATGAAAAGCTTGCTATTCTATCCACAAGCATGAAGTTTTGGATAGGAAAAGGGCTCCTCCAGATTTAAATTTGTGATAAAGGCAATTTTTAAAAAATAAATATTTGTAATTCTTAGGGGAGAAAGCTGGACATGGTGGTACATTCCTGCAATCCAAGTACTTTGGAGGCCTGAAGCAGGAGGATTGCAAATTCAAACACAGCCTGGACAATTTAGTGGCTTTGGGAGACCCTACCTCAAGATAAATAATTTTTTAACAGGCTGGGAATATACATCATTGCAAAGGCCCTGAGTTCACAGTAGCAAACCCTTGCCCGAAAAGTGACAGAACAACTTACACTTCAATTCTTAAGCTGTCCTGGCTCAGTGGTGAGCACACTACATGTACCATAGAACGTAGTCCCTATTTTGTGTAAGGCCACCTAAGTGATGCTGCTGTCATCAAATTCACCTTGGGATGCAGAGCGTCTCAGAGAGATCCGAGCTGCCCTAGTATCGCAAGCCAGAAATTGGGCGACTTCAGGTGTGAGGTTTGTCCATCCCACAGAGAGATGGCTTCCCAACCTGTGCTTGGCTCCCTGGGTGGGAGTGATGAGGGGTTTGCTAGAGGAGGCAGAATGGCTTGGAAGAGCGGGCTCCTGAAATTGGGTTGCACTCGGGCAATTTGAAGGAAATCATGATGTTTAGCTGAGAGAAGGAAAAACGTAGGGGCTCATTATAAATATCTTAGAATATTTGAAGGGAGGGCTGTGATGGTCCCAAATAATTAACATTTTGTGTAACTCCAGACAGGGAACAACTGGTTGGAACTAGCTGGAAGTTACTAGGCAGGAAAGTTTAATTTGGTGATTGTTTTTTTTTTTCTTTTTTAATCAATTAAAAATAGGAAGCTGAGCATGGTGAGGCACGCTTGGAACCTCAGCACTCTGAAAGGCTGGGGCAGGAGGGTCTAAAGTTTGAGCCCAGCCTGGACTACTTAGGGAGAGCCTGTCTCAAAATTTAAAAGAAAGAAAGAAAAAAAGGGGCTGGGTATGTGTAGTTCACCATTAAGGCCCTGGGTTCAATCCCCATAATTGAACAGAAAGAAAGAAAAAAGAAATAGAGAAAAGTTGTACCTAAAGCAGGATGGTCTGTATTCAGGATATTTAGGAGCTTATGCAGAACGTCTAAACTGCCAGTTGCCCTTCTCCACTGTTGGTGGGAGTGTAGACTCGTCAAACATTATGGAAATCAGTGTGGAGACTCCTTAGAGAACTAGGACTGGAAATCCCATTCAAGCCTGCTATCCCCCTACTGGAAATTTTCCCGGAGGAACTGAAAGCGTCATATCATAGTGATATATGCATACCTATGTTTATAGCAGCACAATTTGTGATAGCCAGATCTTGGAAACAACCAAAATGCCCGTCACATGTGGAATGGTTGAAAAAGATGTGGTACTTTTATATAATGGAGTACTACTCAGCTATAAAGAATGACCAACTTGAAGCCTTCACATTTAAGTGGATGCCCCTTGAAGATATACTTATTTGTGAAATAAACCAGACCCACATCTGTGAATATCATATTATCTCCCTAGTATAAGGACTTACAATTCCATATATGGTTAAGTTTCTAAATTTCTTTGTAAAAATATGCAAATTCTTATTTCTATTTTTATGTAATTATTTTACGTTCATTTTCTGTAAGGACTTAAAGTTCAACATATCAATATCTGATGGAATATACCTGTTCCATGATATGCCAAAATGTTTGATATTTAGACAGATAGGGTAAACCGAACTGCATATATTGCAGGTTAATAACTAGCTTCTCTTCTGGAGGGTTAACAACTTAAGTTAGCAGTTTAAAATTGGAGAAAAGGAAGAGCTGCATGGTTAGCTAACATTTTGGCCCTAGCCTTTCAAGGTCAGTGAAGATTCGGGACATAGGAGAACCTGTACTGTAACAACATGTAACTCAGTTGTGCTCCAAATTTTCTGATCAAGAAGATTATGGAACCACAGAGGAATGTGTTCGATGATGTAAAGTTAGCCCGAGGAGAGTCACATGGAGAGAAAAAACATTTTCTCAAGCTTTCACAGACAGCAAATTGGTCAAGCAATGGCCATGACTCATCCTCATGTCAGACACTGACAAAAGGATGTACAAAGGGCGGTACAGGGCTACAGGATAAATCCTGAGAGTACTTGGCTGACCTTATCAGATACAAGTTACATTTCTTGGTATATAGGTCTTGCTATATCTTGGTCTTAACCATCCAGCAGAAAAGTATAAAAACGAGGTATATAAAGTAAATCCATATTAATATGATGAGCTGTATTCTTTTTTTTTTTTTTTTTTTTTTGGTGGAACTGGGGATTGAACTCAGGCCCTTGTGCTCACCAGAGAAGCACTTATTCCACTGAGCCATCTCCCCAGCCCCTATATGATGAGCTGTAAAAGGCTCAAGTCAATAACTTCTGAGGGGGGCCGGGGAGATAGCTCAGTGGAATAAGTGCTTCCCTGGCAACTGCAAGGGTCTGAGTTCCATCCCCAGTTCTGCAAAAAAACAAAAAAACAAACAAACAAAAAAACCCCAAAAACAAACAAACAAAAAACTTCTGAGGATAACCCACTAATAATATAGACTGCTAGGCAGTGTTAGATTGTTTAGTTGAATTCAAACACTTATAGTTTTTAGATGCCAATAGAAAATTCACCTCTGACAGTACAAAAAAAAAAAGGATACAAAGGAAAGATCATTTTGTATTTATATATACAAAATAATTAGGATAAATTTACAGCTACTTTCGCTTAATTCAATGAGAAGAAAGAGGTGTCCTGACAGTGTTTGAACAGAATATCCTGTCTGCTTCTTGTACTATGGATAACCACTAAGAAGATAACAATGTACAGTGTATTGATTATCAAAACTGTCCTATTAATCAGCTGTGAAACTGTCTCATTCATATTTATTTCTCAGTAAAAATAAATAAAATAAAAAAAATAAACTGCCAGTTGATTATGAGCCTTTTTGTAGTGGGTGAGAGGTTGGCCTAAATGACTGCCTAAAGGCTACGGTCCCGTCAGAGGTCCTCCAAATTCCTGCTCAGATTCCTGTATCTTGAAGTTTTCTTTGACAATGAGGCTGCATAATGGCAGAACCCTACTCTAACTCTACTTTAAGGGCCACTCTCCTGCTTTCTTTCTTTCTTTCTTTCTTTCTTTCTTTCTTTCTTTCTTTCTTTCTTTCTTTCTTTCTTTAACCAGAACTGAACTCAGACTTGCAGGGCAGGTGCTGTGCCGCTGAGCTATATACCTGGTCCTCTCTCACTTTTAGTCCTGTACTTAACTTTGCACATCAGCCTCCCCCATACTAAGTTCCCTGACTGTGTGGGGAAGGAGGAGAAGGCAAGGTGAAAAGATTCAGGATGTATTACACATCTGTGTCAACTCCCCAGGATGAATTCGACCACACATATACTAACAAAAACAGGAACATTTCTAAATGTTCCTTCGGGTCTAAAGAACAGAGCTTTGCACTTGGCAGTCAGTCACCCAAATACTTGTTACAACTTAATAACAAACTCCTCTTGGTTACATATTGTCTTGTTTCCTGTATTAGTCTCAGAAGTAGCTTGTAAACCATTAAGTTAGGGACTGTGGCTGGTATTTATTTGCTGTTTCCCAGCAGCAGCCAGCATGTGCTTGATAAATGTTGCCTCTGCTGATAGGTCCACAGCACAAGCACCTGCCTAGCAAGCAAGAGGTCCTCGATTTGATCCCAGTGCGAAACAAAAAACAAAAAACATTGTCTTAAATTGAGTGGAATTAGAAGGGGAAACAGCATCACTAGAAGTGGAAAAGGAATGAAATGTGAAATGTGGTGGAGAAAAGACAAAAGGTCAGAAATGCTTTTCTTTTGATAAAAGTGAGGACATCTAAGTTTAAATGAGAACTCTTTTCTGATAGTTTTTTCCTACAGGAAACACGGATATACTCAGTAGAGTTAAAGTTATATAACTGTAAACTAGAAAATACATATAGCAAAGGCACTGAGCATGAATTTCAGTTCAAGGTAACATGGCCTGGCATCCCAGCATTCCAAGGACCACAAGTTTGAGCCCAGCCTGGGCATTTTAGCAAGACCCTGTCTAACAACACACAGGTCCAGGGATGTAGCTCAAGGCGGAGGACCTGGGTTCACTTTCCAGGACTGAAAACTAATGAACCAAACATCAATGAAGCATTATGTCACAGCACTAAGAGGAAGCTTGGGTGTCAACAATCTATGGAAGGAAGGAGGCTTAGTCAGCACTTAAACATTTGTCACAGAGGGCCAGTAATTCTCAAGGAGAAAGTCTTGCTGATAGCTCCAACAGAAGTAAAGGGCAAATCAGCAATCACCAGAAGTTTATGGGGGCATGTGGATATCACTTTCTTTTTCTTTCTTTCTTTCTTTTTTTTGTTTTACTATTACAAAAGTTTATTTAACAAAAATTTAATATGAAAATGTGTATGACCCAATCTTCAGTCAAAGACTTTCAGTGAAAGTCTCACTTGGAGGAGAGGCATGAATTTTTCTGCTGAGCACTCATTATTTAAACTCATTCCAAGGCTTCCAACATGATGATACTATTTCTTCGTATCACCACCATTCCAGTGTTGTTCTGTTGCCCACTAGTTGCCATCTCCACACATTCATCTATCACAAGATTCATAAAGGGATCAAATCCTCGCAATATTCCTTGGACATGTCTGTCACCATTCAGTTTCAAAGATAACTTCTTGAATGTTTTTAGCTCGTGAGGGTGAGCTTTGCTCATCTTGTCTAGTCCGCGGGCTCAGGGATCCTATGAGAGGAATCTTCACTTTCTTTTTAATTTAATTTTGAATGTATTTGGTTGTGCAGGGCTGGCGGGGGGGGGGGGGGGGGGGGAGCATGTGGCCCTGGGGATCAAGCTGCGGTCTCCGAGCTTGCCTAAACAGGCACTTTAATCCACTGAGCTATCTCACTGGCCACAAACACAGGTCTTATTAATTCATGAAGAGGGCAGTGGTCTGAGTGACTGAGGGGTGACTGTGAGAATGGCTGGAACTATTCGAATTCAGTGAGCTGGGCTAGGTAGGACACACAGTCCCACTTCTTTTTGTTGTTGTTGTTGAAATGCAAAATTTTAAAAAAATCTTTATTCTCTTCAGTTTTTTTTCATAATTTTATTGAGAAACAAATAGCAATGAGACAGTTTCAAATCAAATTGGTAGGACAGTTTCAATAATTAACACATTGCATACATTCTTCCTAGTGGCTAATTGCTGTACAAGATGTGGACATGATATCCTATTTACAAACACTATTAGAACAAATCCCTCTTTTCATTAAGAGAATGTAACTATATATCTATCCTAACCACTTTGAATACACAGATACAAAATGGACATTCATCTGTATCCCCTTTTTTTGTTAAGTTCCGTTATTTGAATATTATAGGTGTGTAAACTCAGCAAAATATTATAAAAGAGTCCAGTAGTCCATAATAGTATTGGGTTTTCTGCTTGACTGGCAATGTCAGAAATTGTTGACCTGAGTCCCCTACAGCTCAACATAACAGCATGGCTTTACTTGCAGAGTAGTATGCAGAAAGTGCCGATCCCTTTCTATTGCGCGGCTGTATTTCGTGTATGTCTGCTTCAAGTTCCGGCTCAGGTACTGTAGCCCTGCCTGTCCCACCTTGGAATTCACGCTGCCCTGCGCTTTCCTGTCTTTCCTCTTTCCGTTCAGTTTATCTGCCAAAGCCATGGAAGGCTGCTGGCGGGGCGAAGAGTGGAACCGAGTTTGGAGGTGGGGACGAGGTATCTTTTTACTTCTCTTCCTGTCCTACGCCCCTGCATTCCCACAGTAATATGCGTTTTTCACTTGGCAAGATTTAAGGCTTCCACAGCAGCAGACAATTTACATTCAAGCCTACTATGAAACCAACCAACCAACCAACCAACCAACCAACCAACCAACCAACCAACCAACTGCCAGGCTTGGTGACACAAGCCTGTAATTCCATTATACTGGGAGGCACAAGCAGGAGAAGAGCAAGTTTGAGGCCAGCCTGGACAACTTAGCGATTTAGTGAGATTGTGTCAAAAATAAGATTGGACAGCTAGCTCAGTGTGAGCACACTTGCATTCAGCTCCTAGTACCGGAAAACAAACTGCCAGAAGATCACTTTCTGAATCCAAGAATGTTTCCCTATCTCTTGGGAAGCAAAACTAATTCTCTAGCTTCCATTTGGAAGTCAGTTAGTAGTCAGAAAAGCTACTACTTCAGGACCACCGACCAATCAATCAGGCAGCCCTTACCTGACGAAGGTAAAGCATTGGTTCCTTGAGCGATAGTCTTCTGGGCCAATCAGACGCGGGTGCAGCAGAGTTCGTAAAGAGCAAGGCAGCACCTGGCTACGGTCAGTCACTCGGCCGAGCGGCAGCTCTTTTGACCAATCATCAGGTGGAGAGAGGGACCTTCTAACCAATCACAGAGGGTGGGCGGGGCGGTAAGGGCGGGGCTAAACCTGGGTTGGAGGTGGGTCCCAGCTCTGCTACAGTTGCCGAAGCTATTACCCGAACTCCGGCTGAAGCTGTTGCCTCAGGTTCTGGTGGAACCGGGGATTGAACTCAGGTCCTTGCACTTGCCAGGAAGCGCTTATTCTACAGAGCCATCTCCCCGGCCTTGCCTCAGGTTCTTGATCGTGATGGGGACAAAGGTGAAAACTGGGAGAAAACTGTTATTTTATTTACATCGACGAACCTGTGTAAGTTGCTAGAATTTCGGGGAGGGATCGTTCATTTGGGTCCGACGTTGGAGCAGGGCGCTCCCCACGCCGCGCCCACGGAGGGTGGAGTTGAGAAACCTGCCAGCCGCTGCTCCTGGTCCTTCCCCGAGTTCGCATCGGGCGCTGCCCACTTGCTCTCCCACCCCGTGGGGCGGCTTCCGACGCCCACCAGAGATGCCTGCCCCTTACTCCGGGGGAGGCGGCTGCGGGGAAGAGCTGGGAGGGCTGGTTCCTTTCTTCTGCGTGCTCGCACCCTGGTGCAGACCTGAGGTCGCGAGACCCTTCCTGCTCTCCTACATCTACCTGGCCGTCTTCCTCTGCCATTCCTCTGTCCCTGGACTTCGAGGAAAGCCCCGAGCCGCACAGCCCTGGGCTTCCTGGGCTCCTTCATGACCCTCGGAGGAATGCAGTGGAGCTGGGTGGGATGAAGTCTCCTGTGGCTTTTGCAGGAGTCTCCAGCTCCTCTGAATCTCTGGCAAAGTGTCCTGGTGCGGAGCCCGAACAGGAATGAAATTGAAAGCTGAAATTTCCTAGGCCTCCGCATTCAAAATTCCTTGTACTATACCTACGGAGGAGTCCTTACTAAATGTTGATTGAGTGACTCTTCCCAAGGTGAGAGTGTGGGTGTTGGTTCACTTGTCAGTATTTAACCCAGATAGGCATCTAACTTGCATCCAATCCTCCTGCCTTAGCCTCTGAGAGCTGGGATTTCCGACGTGCACCCTCAAGCCTTGGCTCTGATTTACTCCCTTTTCTTGCACAAAAGAAGATGTAGTGTATATCATTGATTGCGTTGATTCATTTACTTAATGCAATGTGGAGGTCTTTCATGCTGATACCGAAGGGGTTGTGACCTTTGTTGTTGGCTCTATGCTTCTCTGCATGCTCAAGGGGTGTGGGTGCTGTGGACATAGAAACAGCCAACTCTGCTCCTACCCTGAGATAGGCTGAAGGGCTGCCCCCATTTCATGTGCT